AGATTGAAACTAAATATTTTTTTGTTTCGAAGTTGAAATCAAGGCATATTCACTGCCAAAAGTCAGTTAAAAATTTTCCATATTATTCGTTATTTCTTATTTTATTCAAAGTTTTTGGTCATATTCCAAATTTTCTCTCAAACCGTATACTTTTTTCAGTACAGATACTATTTATTTACCTCATGATATGCTGCAAAACCTAATTAATCACGAATTTCTAATTTTATGTACTCTTGTCTCCGATTGTACCTCCCAAACATCCTTAACTTTGCCAGTAACGACTTCTGGGTATAACGGCGAAATTACAGTGGTCCGTTCGTTGTCGTTATATCCGAAATCCACTGTATTTCACTTTTTCTATCAATTTGGTGTCTTCTTGTTCCATCCAAGCCTCATTTCTCCTTGTCCTTTGCCGTTCGTCTTATGGTTCATATTAATGATTCAAAACAGAAGTTTGTATCTGATTTTTTTTTCCTTGAACTTAAATTTTTGATATCCCGATATTTCACGAACAGCACTCTCAATCCATTTCCATTGAAACATGGTAGTTTCCGTTGGAGATGGCATTTTGCATTACTCGGCATATCACTGGAAGCTTTCTGTTTGATTTAATCAAATACATTCGAAAAGATTCATGACTTTCGAAGACTCGTATATTCGAACATAAATGTAGCTTTAGCGTACTTTGGCTTCCATTACTTGAATGCCGCGTTATGTAACCAAACGTCGGCACCGGCTTCAGATTCCTATCGATCTAAAGGTGTTTAGTACAGAAGTTTCTCTTATTTGAATTGAACAAGCTGAGAACGTAATATTTCCTGGCAAACTCGACGAAAAACGCAAGAGAGAAAACATTTCAAACATTCAAAAATACTATACATAGGTACGTGCTCGCTATTACCGCTACTGGGTACTATATCTACTTTGAGAAGACACAAAATATTCTTGAGATAAAGTTGAATGTTTTAGTCTCATGGTAAAAAGATATAACTACTATCCTAAAGGATCTCAAAGTTTATAACATAGGGTACTACAGTACGTTGACCTTTTTGTCGTTAGAAACCATTATTAATAAGCCTTTAATAAAAGGAAGTCACTTCTATGCTCGCGAACGGTTAATTTAGAAATTCGAAAAAGGTTGTTGAAGGTGTATGTTTGGAGCACGGCATTATACGGGTGCGAAACATGGACAGTGGGCGCGGCGGAAAAGAAAAGGTTAGAAGCGTTCGAAATATGGTGTTATAGGCGGATGATGAGGATATCGTGGGTAGAAAAGGTTAGAAATGAAGAGGTATTGGAAAGAATAGGAGAACAGAGGACTCTATGGAAGTCAATAAAAAATAGGCGAGATAGGTTGGTAGGACACCTTCTCAGGCATGAAGGTCTAGTCAGAGACATATTAGAGGCAGAAACAGGAGTTAGGAGGGGTAGAGGTAGACCTAGATTAGATTACTGTTCGCAAATAGTTAAGGATGTGGGCTGTTCTAGTTTTAGGGAAATGCGAAGTTTAGCTCAGGATAGGAAAGAGTGGAGGTACGTGTCCAACCAGTCTTAGGACTGACGACCTTATGATGATGATGAAGCAAAGTCAATCCTTTGTTTGTCTCTAACTAGTCCTTTATCTATCATCTCTCTCCTTATCCTTATTAACTTCTATGCTTTTCTCTGTTCTCCTAAATTTTCTCATTTCTAACCTATGCGCACTATTTTCATTATGTGATGGATATAACATCGCATCTCAAACGTTTTTTTCCACATTTGACATATCAACGAGTTTCTTTTACAATTTTTGTTGGTTTTAGACAAGTGCAAACCACAATTTTTAGAATATTACTTATTATGTTTTCTTCGTGTCAACGTATATTAAAACGATATTCTTATTGTTTCAGAGCATGGCTTCTGGTTTTTGGACTGCGTGCGATGCCTTGAGCGACGCAGTTTTCCTGATGGACGTCGGGGTTCAATTGCGTACCGGTTATTTGGAACAAGGCCTTATGGTCTACGATTCTCATAAATTAGCAGGCCACTACTTACGATCGCGTGCCTTCTTGCTTGATTTAGCCGCTCTAACGCCCCTAGATTTGCTCCAGCTCAGGCTTGGTACACAACCTCTTCTCCGTTTCCCGAGATTCTTAAAGGTGAGTGAGTGACAACTTTTCGTAAAATATTAATTTAACATCGAAATGCTACTTCCTGATTTGGAACAGGATTAACACTTGTAATAGGCTAAATTATTCTTGATTTACATTTAATTTCTTCCCTATTTTTTCTAATGAAGTCTAGAATCATCGATTTTGATATAATGCCTTGTTGTTGGCTCTCTGGATTTAAGCTTTTTTGGCAATCAGTCATTGTATCACAGAATTCATTCCCAATTAACCAGTGATTTCGATCTTATTCGATCTCGACAGCTATAGACAGCTCAAACAGAATTTTGGCCAAACTACTACCTTTAGTAGTAGAGATAGAGCGAATTTAAAGATAGGAGACGAAAAGTGTCTGATTTTCAGTATCTAGGAAGTCAGATAAGACAGGACGGAAAGAATAGTAAAGCGATAAAGCAGAGGATAGCACACAGTTGACTCGCCTATAAGAAAAAGAAGTCACTTCTACGCTCGCGAACAGTTAATTAAGAAATTCGAAAAAGATTCTTAAAGATGTATGTTTAAAGCGCGGCGCTGTACGGGTGCGAAACATAGACGGTGAGCGCGGCGGAAAATAAAAGGTTAGAAGCGTTCGAACTGTGGTGTTACAAGCGAATGATGAGGATACCGTGGATACAGAAGGTTATAAATGAAGGGGTATTAGAAAGAATAGGGGAATAAAGGACTCTATGGAAGACAATAATAAAGAGGCGAAATAGGTTGGTAGGACACCTTCTCATGAAGGGCTAGTCAGAGATATATTAGAGGTAGAAGAGGAATAGAGGTAGACCTAGATTAGATTACTGTTCGCAAATAGTTAAGGATATGGGATTTCTAGTTTTAGGGAAATGCGAAGATTAGCTCTGAATAGGAAAGAGTGAAGGTGCATGTCCAACCAGTTTTAAATCTGGCCACCTTATAATGATAACTACCTAACTAACACAGTGGTTTACAAACACATTTTATGGGAGCTGATGCTTTCTGTACCGGGCCTAAAAGCCATTGTCAGTTGTAAATACTTCTTAACGTTTCCCTAGCACCAGTGGCTAACTTCTCCAGAAGTCCTTCCATCTCCAATGCTGGATGTGGACCACAGATGGAAAGACCTCTGAAATAGTTCGTTACTCGTACTAGCGAGCAACTCCAACTAACAACGACCTTTAGATCTGAATCAGGATAGCATCAGTTCACCTACTGGCCACGAAAGCCATTACTAATTTGGCATTTTATGAAATTCAAAAATGTTCAAAATGGTCGATGAGGATATCGACATGTCGAACCGAATGCATGGCGTAGTAGACTGCTGTTAGAACTGTCTACGAAGTACTGACAAGATCCAATGGGATCATAATAACGATCCATGTTTGATCATCATGAACCATTCCAATCACGTAGCAGTTTGGCAGGTCGAAATCTTTATGGACCTTGCCAAACATCTCCAAATCTCATAAAATGCAACAATTGTCTGTAGATTCCACTGTGTTTGCAGTACACAATTCATTGGACAAGTGATTACATAAGTGGGTTCACTTCTGCCTTCAATCATCGGATCTCGTCTTTGCCGTCCTCATTCTTTACATTCAATTAATCAAAAACAGCATCGTTTTGATGTACTTGCTGTCACTTGTTGTAAGATATAATTAGAAAGAAGCCAATGACTTATTTGCCTTTGAAATCGCCCATTTATTTTGTCGTCTCTTCTACTCACTGTAGAAATAATAAGTTTTCTAGAAGCGCTTGTCCGGTGCTTGAGCTTAGCGTGCAGATTTATCTCTTTTAGTTCTTGTAATAAAATGGTGGGTTCTAAGCTTTATTATATTCATGAAATATTCATGAAAAGCGGCGGATAATTCGTGGCCCATTACTTCAATTTTGTATCGTTATTTCTCACGCTTTTATATATGTCGATGACAGCCAGAAAATTTCCCGTCCCTCGGGAACGGTCTATTATATCGCGAAGCGAAATCGCATTTGGTTAGGACAAGGTCTAGGACACCAATCTATCATCATTTTTTCGAATGTTTCGTCAGGTCCGTTTTTATCTTCGAACGAAATGTCCGACTCATCTTGCGTGTCTTCGGACTCCTTCCGTCTCATGATTTATTGACACGTACGATCGCGTCAGCATGTGTGTGTATATATACGTGTCCGAACCTCGATATCCAATAAAGGGAAACGTATATAAAGCCTCGGGGCCCATTTATATTTATTATAAAGTGGCGTCAAAATAAGGAAAATTGATTATTCACCGCAACATTACATACATATGTCATAAATGTCAGCATGGGAGGTCAAGGATCATCCTGTGACCATACATTATATTTGCAGTTTTCAAGATCCTTACGAAAACGCTCAGTCCACAAGGGAAAGGGCAGTTTTCTTTAGTGGATTATTTGCATAAGCAATCCTCAACATTTAATCAATTTCCCGCTGTTTTCTTCAAGTTTCACAAGAATTTTATCATTGAATGAGTTGTCACTTTATCAGTTGATCACTCTCCCTCGTTTATAAGAGTAAAAATGGCAAATTTTTACTAAGAAAATGTTCTGTTTACTTGTACGTTTTCTACTATTACTCTAAGGAGTACTATTCATAGCGTGCTGATGAGAACAAAGTTCGAAATCACGCTGCATTTTGAACAACTTTGAAATTTTTAACACAGTTTACAACGCGTAGCACTAAAATTCGTGGAAGAACCTCAAGGATTCTTCGTAAGGGTTCATTTTTATTATTATGACTTGGAATTCGAAAAAAAAACAAGTGTCGACTTTTGTTTTCTTTGTTTCAGGTTTACCGTTCCGTAAAGTTCTACTACATCGTGGAATCTCGCACAGTGTGGCCGAATCTATGGAGAGTGGTAAACCTGATCCACATCCTTTTGATTCTTGCTCATTGGTTTGGTTGCTTCTACTACCTCCTCTCCGAAGCCGAAGGCTTTCAGGTAATGATTAATTCCTTCGTATATTTGCCTTGGAATGCGTATGAGAGATCGCGGAATGTCATTATCCCTAATTATCCTTGTGTAAACCTGTTAATGGGGAATTAAACGGCGTTGACATCGAAAGTGTTAATGTGAACAGGGGTGGAACTAATTCGGGGTGAAATTGCGAATCGATTGCCCAATATAATAAACAATATTCGCTGGAGTGATTCAAGGTAGGTACCTAACCCATATTTGTCAGAAAATTAGACGCCTAATCCATAAAATTGATGGTAAAGTGGAATCTCTTCATACTTTATTTAATAAACTATTAAGGAGAACAAGTTAAATTTTCATCAGGGTTAATTACGGCTATGAACATATCTAGTGATGAAACGCAAACAAGCAATGAAACATTAGAATCCTATTGTTTTCGGTTTTTTTTATTTCTTACTAGCTTTTCCCCGCGGCTTCGCTCGCAGAAATTAAAATTGTTTCTCCATAAAACCTTTTAAATTTCAATTCACCATTACAACGTTTTAATTTTATGTAATGTCGCCATCTTAGATTTCAAATACAAACGTAGCAACAACATCTCATCCTTAAGGGTTGATTTTTAAAAATTGCCAAAACACGTATTTGCTTAATTTCAACAATGAGCAACCTTCGAGTAAATCCGAGTACAAATAAAATCTACCCCATGGAAACGTAGCAACCTCTTTTCATTTGATTAATAATATCAAACGGCATATGTGTCAAGTTTCAAGTAAATTCAACCACAAATAAGGTTTGTCCCAAACAAAAATTGCAACACCTTTTTACCCCACCCTCCTTTGGAGGTTGAAGTTATTTGAAATTAAATGGGAGACCATTAAGACCAAGTTTCAAGTAAATCTGACCACAAATACTATACATTCCATTTAAACATTACAACTCCTCTTCATCACTCCTTCACCCCAATAGAGATTACAATCATAGAAACTAATCCATTATAAATTCAATACTTAACGGACAAATTTTATTACCCCTAAATCCCGATGTTTTGAAAATTTCGCCCCTATTTGTCCACCTGGAGAAATTTTTTTGTATTTTCTTGTACTACTTGTAGTAAAAATGTGAACCATTATTGTATAATGTATATATANCTCGTGGAACGTTATAAAAAGTATCCTATGTCCTTCTCCCGGTTGTAAGCTACCTCCCCACCAATTTTCAGCCGAATCGGTTCAGCCGTTCTTGAGTTATAAATAGTGTAACTAAAACGACTTTCTTTTATATATATATAGATTTCAAATAGTCACTTATATGCTATTCAAGGTCAGTAAATGCTAATAGCTTAAACGGGGTAAATCCCTCATGCCATTTTGGGTCTTGTAGACTAATAATCTGTAGTCCCAAAACATACTGCTCGTCGTATGACCGATTATTGTTCTATTATTGGGTCACATAAATAAAAAACTTTCCTATAACTCGTCAAAATTCCTACCTATGGATTAAATATCAGCTTTTATTATTATTGGTATGGTAAAAAATCATATACGCAAGCTTGAAAAGTAAGTACGACATCCCGCCCCCGGGATTTGTCACCCTTGCCTTCGGCCCGGATGGCAATTCACACCTGGGAGAGATCACTACACTCTCTTCCCTTGGTGCGTTGTAAAGTACTCAATAGATTTTCTCTGCTGTCATTATGTTCTGTTTTTTTATCTATTTTTTTTTTGTTCGATGTCAGGGCGCTATTTGAAAAGTGTGTCTATATAAACGAAAGATCGATATGAGGAACGAAAACAGTTTAAATGGAACTAGATAAAGGACATGTACTCCATTTACTCACTTTACAAACTATTTTCTACCTTGAAATCAAGCCATTTGGTTATGTCGATAAATTACCTGATTTTAAAGAATGCGTTTACAATTAGGATATGCCTTTTTTGTGTAATTATTTTTTTTTATGGTTAATAATGCTCAATTATTACTTTTTGAAGGGCTAAAACGGGTTACAGAGCTGATTCAGTTTATACTATAGAAAAATGGCAATGTTTTTATTATAGTAGCTAAAGATTTCTTAGTGGAAGTCAAATAGTAAAGTGTTTTTTATTTGTACTCTTTTAACAGTAGTCGTATGTCTTGTAAAGGGTTTTTATATCGATGGGTACGACTGGGGATCGATTTGTTGCATGGTTATTGTGCAAAAAATCTCTTAATGGAAAGAAAAATGCTACAAATAATCCGACAAATCCTATATCAAATCCTGTACTCTGACCAATTACTTAATACGTGCATAGGTACAACTAGAATCTCTAGAGTCTTACTCAGTGTTTTGTACGTATTATGGTGTCACTTTTGTTTAATCTAACCATCAATTATCAAACAACTCAATGTAAGAAAACTCCTAATGGGTTTTTTTTAATTGTAATCATTGTTAAGTATACTGGGGCTTTTCTTTTACAACTGCAGTTTGATTACCACATTCAGAGTCCCAAATGAGTAAGAGATGCAGATTAAACTCTGTTATTTCTATACTACGAAACTTTGGAGTTTTACTATGTGTGGTTTTCCGTTACTTTCACTGTAGCAATTTTTGCTTCCAATTTTTATGGGGTATCTCTGATTGTTGTTTTGTTGGTCATATATCCGGGATCGCTGAATCAATGTGAGCTACGAAACACAGTCGAACTAATTATATGATACCAACTTGAATTGGTCACCCATCCAGGAAGTAACCAATGAAATCGTTGCTGCACTTCGATACCGTTTGACCCGTATCGAAACGACTCCTCAATACACCTAATCAGAAGCAACTTGTGAAGAAATGAAGCAGGTGTTTCGTTAATTCAATCTTATATCTGATCTTCAAACATAAACATGTTTATTACCATCTCATTGGAGCTATCAGTTTTTATAATAATTTTTCAATGGAAAACATCTATCGAGAAAGAAAAACAGACCAAATAATTCGTCTAAATATGCGGCTTTTTGTTAAAAAATGAGTATACACGGTAGCGTTGAGTTTCCGAAGGAGTTCACGGAGCTACGTAGAGCGGCACAGCTCAATGATATATAGGATACTGCAAGTCCCAAAAGCAGAGATTCAGGGAATTCCTTTGGTCTTCTCAGTACTCAGCACAGGCTATAGGACGGCTGTCAAAATTCGATTTTACATAAGGAGATCAGCGTCGGGTGAACACACCAAAATATCATAATAATAAACTAGAGATGCCCAATGCTTCGCTTTTGCTATTCGAGTTAGTATCGATTCACTGTAAAATCTTCGTATCATCATCCTATCCTATTTTAGGTAATTCTTTAAACATCCTGTATACAATTATATGACATGAGTATTTGTTTTATAGAATGCATGCGTGTTCGTTAGTCCCATATGAGCTTCAGTTGTGCCGATTACACGTTTGAATAAATGTTTTCATGCGACAAAACGTATTGCAAATGTGCAGGATGCATCAGCGTTCATTAGTCGCACGTTTCCGCAAGAACGAAATGGATCAGACGAACAACTTTCGCGAATGTACCGCCCGATTTTGCATACTTTATCGAAATATATTCGTTCCTAGTTGCATTAGTAACAACTAATAGCGGTGGCTGTGGAAATAGTTAAATTGAAATATTATCGGCAATGCAGACGCGAGCGAATTTTTCGGTTAAATTCAGGATGTGAGATAAAAATTGGAGCGTTGTATGGGAAAGTAAAAGAATGTATCAACCGAAAAGGAAATTTTGATTTTTGATACTATGATGTACTTCAATACCGAAGTAGGTACATTGGATAAACAATGTTCCCAAATTAAGAATAATTTGGGAGGATTTGGGTTGAAAGAAAGTGGTCTAAATGAACTGTAAGGTCTGGACACTTGGTCGGTAACTGCGGCTGACATCATCAACGATATTGGGTTGACAATTTGGACGAGGTCATATAGCTCGAGCCCGATGGGATTAAAACTCAAAACGTAGCTCAAGAGGAACGCAATGATGATGGTCCTCTCTGGTGGAATCATCAAATTGAAGAGAAAAACTTTTTATTTTGCTTTAACTTCGTTGATACCGTAACCTCATGGTAATTAACAGTAACTATAAGCATTCTTCGACTCATACATTTATTGAACATGTTCTTTATTTGCTGACAAGCATCCACAACCAAACATATTTAGGTGTTGTTTAGAAATTCGGAAAAGATTGTTAAAGCGCGGCGCTGTAAGGGTGCAAAACATGGACGGTGGGCGTAGCGAAAAAAAAAGGTTAGAAGCATGCTAATAAAGAAGATACCGTGGATAGAGAAGGTTAGAAAGAATAGACGAACAAAGGTCACTATGGAAGCCAATAAAAAATAGGCGAGATAGGTTGATATAGTTGGAACACTCAAAATTGGTATAGTTCACAACAAGTTATCTGTGAGAATGGACGTATCTTCTTTCTTGTTTCCACTTGGGGCTGCATTTTGAACACGCTTTTATTAAGTTACGAAATGCTTCATAAGTAGTAGAAACAAAGTGAAAAGAGATAACCGAATAATAGTAAACGGTGCACCGGTTACAGGTTGCTTAGGTACATAAAAAATCAGGGTCGGCTTTACAACTGCTACGTTGAAATTATATTTTGCATCTTTTTCTGTTACATATTAATTGGTGTAATGTTATTTCTTTTTCTTTATTGGTGTCCGCTGCAATTCCTACCTGACATCTCCTTTCTATGTTCACGATATTCCATACAACTTTTGTCATGAGTAAAAGTAGGCGTTCTATCAGCAACCGCTCTGTTCTAGGTACTAAGTTGAAAGAAGAAAGTAAACGCGATAGTTTCATTACGGACTATGCCAATTTTAAACGTCCCAACTATAAGACACATTCTCCTTCTCAGTCATGAAACTGAAACAGGAGTTATGACGAGTGGAGATAGATTAGATTATTGATCACAAACAGTTAAAGATGTGAGATGTTCTAGTGCTAGGGAAATGCGAAGATTAACTCACGATAGCAAAGAGTGGAGGTATGGATGACGACTTATAGTGATGATAACAAGGTCATCCGCACCTGCTTCCGTTTCCACCTACCTTTGCCACTTCCGACCAACGGCCTCCTCATCTGGGAATTTCCCGAAATGTTTTAAAAATTAAAAACAAATTTCGGATAGTTTGTTTCTTATGTGTTTTTGTTTCTTTATTAACTGTAATATATTTTATTTAGAATAAACCATTTTCCAAAATGTCTAACAACGAAGGTTTTTTTTTATATAGGTAACGATCTCATATCTACGCTCGCAATTCTAGTAAACTGCTGCTTTAATCTGACTTATTTATTTTTGTGACTTGCTGAGCTCATATTTCATTACTTAGATTAGTACTTTGCCGTTTTATATTCGTTTAGGGAGACTGGGTTTATCCGTACCGTCCTGGAGATTATGCCACCCTAACACGCAAGTACCTGGGATCATTATATTGGTCCACCCTCACGCTTACCACCATCGGAGATTTACCGACCCCCGAAACAAATGCTGAGTGAGTACCATAATTACTACGATTACGATTTCCTACGCAAGCCGTAAATAACGACTAAATTAGCATGCGCCTTATAGGCTCATTTAATATTTTATAACCACTTGCGTAAGGATCCCGAAAATATCGTGCTGCGAGCATACGAGGAATCTTAACCGCACATTAAAGTTTAATTTTACTAAAAATACTCAATGTTTAGAGCAGTGATTCTCAACCTTTTTTCGGTCACGGCACACTTTTAATAATTTAAAAATATGACGGAACACTAACAATTATGTAAATTAAAAAAACATTGTCAAACAATTGTTATATACATCGTTTAGTTTCTGTAGCGATGTGACCTTCAGTTTGACCGGCGCAAAGTAGAAAAGAACAGCACTAGGCCAGAAAAGAAAGGATACAACTCTCGGACAAACTCTTAACCGGTGAAGAGCGTATAATCCGTACAGTACTGCACGGAAAAATTGACCATTTTATCCACTAAAATTGCGTTTATTGGTACCATTTACTACTGAAAATATCAACGAGATGTTTATTTATATTTGAAATTATATTGAAGGCTTTAACGCTTGTTTTCGACTCGCACTACTATTCATGATTGAACAAAACTTTTGGCAGGTACTGTATGAAAAGGTATGTTTAGTCAACAAGAGTCGAGAGTATAATGAGCTTTTTTCTCCCTACCTACGATTTTGCCAGCGTGCATCCAAGACGTTGGAAGGGGCAAATCGCTAGAGAAAGTAAATGAAGTATAGCTATATTTTGTAAAAATAGCAGACGATAATAATTTTCAATGGAATATAAAGTAAAATGGTATTACAAAGTAAAGAAAATGTTTATTAAATTTCATTTATTTTAAGTCTGGATCTTTTTTTCGTTATTATGATCGGACGCCCGGACTTAATTCTCCGAATTCTTTCAAAAACGAACGCATCCCTGCTGTATATCGGCCATTGGGATAGGATAAAATGAGAGGGTATATCTCCTTATCACTTCTATACGTGGGCTACGCTACTATATATTTCGGATTACTTCTCGATGCATAACCAGGCAGCAAAATACATTCTCCAAATGTCTCCTCCGCCATTTTACTGTATGCAAACGTAAAATTTGGCGTCACACTTCAAGAATCCCGCAGAACAATAAAGTGTCGCGGTACAGTGGTTGAGAATCACTGGTTTAGAGATTTCATTGGCGCTGTTTCTTAAATACAATACAGGGCTTCTGTCGGAGCTGTCTGCGACGCGCTGATGAGATCCAAAAAGATCGAAATCGCGATCCGCGTCTGACAGTTTCGACAGGATACAGACCACTTCGAATTATTTTATTCGATTATATGGCAACGTGCCTATCACGTTGAGGTGAGCTACGCCGGGATTCGTTTCAGCAAGTAGACATCCATATATTCAAATGGACCTTGTTGGAGCATACGTAATCCTAAAATGTAGCATCGTACTACAGATGGCGTTTACCGCGCCATTTGTGGTACTTATTTCATCGTGTATTACGTATATGGATTAAATTGCGTAAATAAAAAGAGGAAGATTGTAAGTGTCGTGTACAGTTTTTCGTGTTATCAACTGCGCCCGTGTCCCTGTTACAGCGTTGACAATGTTTTAGGGATATCGGCTCGGTGGATGGCCCAAGGTCCTTGCCGCGCCGGGGCATCAAGTCACGCCTACTACAATTCAGCACGAACCGAGGGTACGTGTGACAATTTTCATGTCGTCGGCAGCATCAACCCTTATCCCTTTTCATCATGCCCCTTTTTCTATCAATTTTATCAATAAATCAATCAAATCGCCATCCACACTCTCATTCACTCTCGTTTCTTTTTTTTATTCTTGTTATTACAATTTCTGTTTCTTTTTTTTGCTTTCTTGAAAAAAAAAATAATTAAAAGCCAACAAAAAAAAAGAAAAAGAAATTGTGAGAGTAATAGATAGTGTTGGACGTAGTAAAGGTGTTTCTGCTTCCGACGACATCATCTTCACGTTCATAACCCCTGAACAAGCAATCCCAGTCCGTAAATCCCAAAACAAGAAGTCCCATTGGCTTTGAGCCGCCGCGGCAGGACTGAGGGCTATCCCGTTATCTTGCTACGATATCCCGACGACGCTCGATGATGCCGAGCAGCGTCGCGACGCTGTCCTACGCCACTCGGCCAGTCCTGCTGCTGCGGCCCAACTTCTTTCCGCGCACGCGTAACAAATTGGAACCATTTTTTTTTAAGCTAACTGTACATTTAAAATATAAAATAATCATTTGATTTTACTGTCTTGAATCTGGAGATGTTTCAGTCTTGATGAATTATCTTTAAGTATAAGTTTTATTTACATAATGATGGTTGACAAATTTATTTCTTTTTAGGTATATTTTCACAATTGTCAGCTATCTTATAGGAGTTTTTATCTTCGCAACAATAGTAGGTGAGTTTTTGATTTTAAAAATATATTAGGATCAATCACTACGTTTTTATTCAATATACAGTAGACATTAGTACCTACTGTAAATATTATCGATTCCTTCACTTTAACAAATCTTAGATTTAATGTCATCTCTCATCTGGTTCAATATATATCGATCTCTCACAGCTTTAGAAATTGGTTCAGTTTTTTGCTCTATCATACAAATATTTTGCGAGATCATTTTTTGACGTCACAACGTCTTATAATTCGATGGAGCCAGCTGCACGCACGAAAAAACATGACTCATGCGGCGTTACCTCGCTCTGAGGCGTTCCATTTAAGGCTTGAAGTGCAAGCGAGAGCGCGGAACGAGCGACAAAGAGGCACAATCTGCCTCCGCGTTCGGCAGCTTTCGACATCTGTCTTTCTCCTACTTGAGTGAGCGATGCGTCCGCGTGGATAGCTGCTATACAATAATACCTCCTTCTCTATATCCATACAAAATATCTAACAAATAAAATTAAAATTTTCTTTTGAAAAATGAAACCATTCCATCAGTATTTTCTTACGACGTTGTCACGTTCAACTATCGTCAGTAAACCGACTTTACAGACAACCGATTTTTTTTAAGCCCGTAATTTAATCCTTGAATAACAAGCGATTTATGATATAGTCTAAGACATTTCACAAATTTATTGATAAAAGTATCTACAAAAATTATTGAGGACGTAGATTCAGAACAAAAAACTACTAACAGCTAATACAATCGGGAAAGTACCTACCAAATATATACAGGAGAATAGGGAAATTCATGCATTATTTCAATCAGCTAAAATCCTCATTAATTAAGTAAAAAAGTACAATCGTAAGCATCCAATTAACTAAATAAAATTTTAAGTATGCTACAGTCGCAGTCACGAAACACACATTTATTACTTAATAGAACAGATTCATTCGTTTTATTACGACAGTCATGTACTATAATTAAAGCAATTGTTTTATTAATTGTGTCGCAGGTCAAGTGGGAAACGTAATAACAAATCGCAATGCGAATCGTTTAGAATTTGAACGCCTTCTAGATGGAGCGAAAACATATATGCGACATCACAAGGTAGATTAATTAATTTAATTTAATTTAATTAACCCTTTATTCCCTCAAGAACATTACATTAATCTTTCAACAATTTAATCGGAAGATATAACTTCTTTGTACCTATGTAACAAAATTAATGATTATGTAAATAATTTGCATGACTTTCAAACGATCAGTGGACTATACAATTACAATATTTTTTGGTTTACCTATTTGTTCAGGTACCAGGAGGGATGAAACGCCGTGTCCTTCGATGGTATGATTATTCATGGTCAAGAGGGAGGATACAGGGGGGTGGTGACATAAATACTGCTTTAGGCTTATTGCCAGATAAACTGAAAACTGAGTTGGCCTTGCACGTTAATTTGAGTGTTTTAAAGAAGGTACTAAAATATCATTCTTTTGTTTGTTGACATTTTAAATTAGTTTTTTAAAATAATAAACAATATATAATACGGAACCCCGTATTTGTCCGTTACCGACAACGGACAGCATCCAAAATTCTAAGTTTCACATGCGTTCCAGAGCATCTTGAGTCATATTTGCAAATATTAAACCTTTATATACCTGATGTTAAGTTTGGAGGGGAGTGGCATTGGCATCTGATTGGTCGCACTGCTGGGTAACCCGTAGCAACGACCAATCATATTACAGTGTTCAACGTATAAAACCCAGAAACCAACTCGCCAATTATCACTTACAAAAAGTTTTAGCAAGAGTTATGTTGATATCGTTTAATTCAATCTTTCTTTTGAATTAACGTTAGCCTGAATGTTTCGTGTAATTGAATTTCAGGTTACAATTTTTCAAGAATGTCAACCAGAGTTTTTACACGATTTAGTTTTGAAAATGAAAGCGTACATTTTTACCCCGGGAGATTCGATTTGCAGAAAGGGCGAGGTGGCGAGGGAAATGTTCATTATTGCGGACGGAATATTGGAGGTTTTGAGTGAAAACGGTAAAGTACTGACCACAATGAAAGCCGGCGACTTTTTCGGCGAAATTGGAATCCTTAATCTCGATGGACTCAACAAGTAAGTGTGTTTTCCAAGGAAAATCGTAAACTTTTCCCTTATTGCCATTTTTATAACCAAAAGGATTCCAGAGATATCGTACAAAGTATTTTATTCAACTAGATGCAATATACGGTCCCTTGTCTAATATTCCTGACATTATAGGAATCTCTTTTCAGTTATATTGTGACAATTTCGTGGATTGTCGAGGTCAATGTCTTTAGAATGGCTCAACAGCGGTCAAAATTTTGAGGTGAACAGATAAAACTGTGCAATTTTTGAGCAATAACTTTTCATGAGCCAGGCGGTATTTTACTCACCTACTATTCGTTCTAAAGACATACGACAAGATATACCACCCAGTTCTGCTAACGTTGTGCACATAATCACTAATATATGTAGTAACTGATCTTTTCGATTATTTTTAATAGCATTATGGCAATCTCTTTTCAGTTCTATTATAAAAATTTAGTCGATTGTCGATCTTTTGAGGTCAATGTTTTTAGAAAGGCACAACAAATGTCAATAATTCGAGGTAAACGGTTAAAAGTATAAATTATGCAGCATCTGAGGGATACATTTTCATAAAATAGTTAAATTATATGTTTGATCTCCATTTCGTATTTTGTTCACCTGCTATTCGTTCTAAAGACATACGACATAGGATATAGCACCCAGCTCTGCTAGCGTTGTGCACATACTCACTAATATATGTAGTAACTGATCTTTTCGATTATTTTTAATAGCATTATGGCAATCTCTTTTCAGTTCTATTATTAAAAATTTAGTCGATTGTCGATCTTTTGAGATCAATGTTTTTAGAAAGGCACAACAGATGTTAATAATTCGAGGTAAACGGTTAAAAGTATGAATTATGCAGCATTTGTAGGATATATTTTCATAATATATGCGTTTAAATTGTTGATCTCCATTTCGTATTTTGTTCACCTACTATTCGTTTTAAAGATATATTGCTTAGAACTTAACGCCCAGTTCAGCTCGCGACATTTTCATTGGATTAACTTTGTTTGTAATTATTCTACTAGAAGCGCGATTATCGTTTTTAGGCGTACTGCGGACGTAAGATCGGTAGGTTATTCGGAATTGTTTTCGTTGTCCCGAGAGGACGTTTTGGCCGCGATGAAGGACTATCCGGAAGCTCAAGAGATCCTTCAGAACTTGGGCAGGAAACGGTTAATGGAAGTGAAGGCCTCGGCGAGACAGCAAGCTCATAAGGAACAAAAACCGGACCCTTTACCATTGGATAAAGGACTCGTTGGAAAAATAAGAAACGAGGCTAGGGTAAGTACAGAAACAGTTACTTATTATCTCTCTTTCCTTTGTCGGTACTCTTCGAATTATTGATCGTCACGGTCTCAGAAAAAGTGGAAAATCTTTAAGAGACAACGATTTCAAAGTCCGCAATAAATGACTGTAGTCATTTGCTGCGTTTTGAACACGCCCTTGTTAAGTTGGAAAATGCTTCATGAGTAGTACAGATGAAATAAAAAGAGATAACCGAATAATAGTAAGCGGTGATGCGGTTAAAAGTTCCTTAAAAAACAGGGTCGGCTTTATAACTGCCGGGTTGGAATTATATCTTTAAACAAGCGTCTTTAGTTTCCTAAATTCCTGATAATGCTCAACTTTCTTTAAAGTCCAATGGCGGCAACATGCTCAAATTCTGCTTGTATGTATCTCTTTCTATTACACATTAATTGGTATAATGTTGTTCCTTTTTCTTTATTAGTGTCCGCTGCAATTCCTACCTGGCATCTCTCTTGTATGTTTACAATATTCTCTACAACCGCTCTAGTCTTGTTAGCATCTCTTTCTGTTACACATTAATTGGTGTAATGTTATACCTTTTTGTATATTAGTGTCCGCTGCAATTCCTACCTAGCATCTCTCTTGTATGTTTACAATATTCTCTACAACCGCTCTAGTCTTGTTAGCATCTCTTTCTATTACACATTCATTGGTGTAATGTTGTTCCTTTTTCTTTATTAGTGTCCGCTGCAATTCCCACCTGGCATCTCTCTTGTATGTTTACAATATTCTCTACAACCGCTCTAGTCTTGTTAGCATCTCTTTCTGTTACACATTAATTGGTGTATATGTTATTCTTTTTTGTATATTAGTGTCCGCTGCAATTCCTACCTGACATCTCTTTTCTATGTTTACGATATTCCCTACAACATCTGTCATGAGTACAAGTAGGCGTTCTGTCAGGAACCGCTCTACTCTAGTTCATAAGTTGAAAGAAGAAGGTGAATGCGACAATTTTATTGGGGACTAAGCCAATTTTAAACATACCAACTATACCTACAAATAATTTTGTAGATATTTTTCAGTTACAGTTCGTAACTTATTTTGATTGGTTTTTGTGAGACAGCCTGTATATACATAAATATATATTAGGGCAAATTTAATCATGAACAAAAAACAAGCATAAGGCACGCCATTTCGCCAGTCATAAAAATTGTTTCCATCTTCGTTTTACACATCTTTGAATCTTATTTGAGATAATTCATTTGGAAAGTTAGGAAGTCGTTATTCGCTGATAGCTTTTTGAGAGGAAATTTCTTACAGAAAACTCCTTTTCCATCTATTTTGCGTTTTTCATTATTCAAATTGAAAGAAATTTTGTTTTTACTAGCGAACAGTTTCTGTTTAAATGCGTCTCATAAATTTTCATTTTAGTTTTATATCCGGTAGAATCCGGCCCTAAAGGAAGCTGGATCCCATTCAGACGAATTTTTTTTTTTACTACGGCAGAAATTTTCCCTGGAGGTATAATTTATAGAGTAAACTGCCTAGCGATATTATTATTCATTTAAATAAATTATTACAAATAATGTTCCAGTACAGAAAATATTACTTCCGGATTTTTTTTTGTTTTATATATACGAACAATATTTAAAGGATAAATATAATTATAATAATGTTTTAGCTTTCCTAAGAATTTACCTAATGATAATGCAAAATACCTATTCAAATTCAAACATTTTTTTGTTTGCATATTGCATAAAAAAGCATGCTAGCAATTCAGAAGCAATGTAGTGCACCATATATCAAATTAGGGGTCTCGCGTCTTAACTTTCTAAGTTCATTAAAAAAGAACGCGGTGCAACTGGCCACACGGCTCACGGATGCGCGCCATATCAATTAATGTATTTTACGGAATTTATCGTCGGCAGAGATATAAGCATGTTGAGTACATGTAATTTAAAAACAATCTAGGGCCTAAAAAAAGCGATCAGAAAAACTAGAAACCATCACAGACGTTCTACCACCGATGAAGCCATGGAGTTGCAACCACTTCACGCTAAAGAAGAAAACAACAATAAAAGCGTTTTGAAACGGATGTCGCGTCTTAAATCCAATTCTAGTCAAGAAGATCCAAACAGTTCAGTGGAACACCCTCCCTCGGTTGCTGAAGGAATTGTATCTCCACTTGGAGCTGGTCTTCCATTACTTTCCAGATTAAGGTAGGTAAATCACTCACTCACCTCCTCTCTAAAACTAGAACATCCCACATGCTTAACTATTTGCGAACAGTAATGTAAAATACTCCACTTAACTCTTGTTTCTGCCTCTAATATGTCTTTGACTAGAACTTCATGCCTAAGAAGGTGTCCTACCAACCTATCTTGCCTATTTTGTATTGACTTCCATACAGTTCTCCCGTAGGAAAAATTTCCATTGCACTGCAATGGGAATCAATGGAAAATTTGTAAATTCCATTCAAACCCATTTGGCATAAATGGAAAAATAATTGTTTCCATTTACAATAATTCCATTAATATTTACATAGGAAAAAGTTCCATTGATTTTCAAAGGGAACCAATGCAAAATTTATAAATTCTATTTAAAACCATTCAATATAAATGGAAAAAAAATTGGTAAAGCAAGTTGTAAAAAAAATCTCATATTTCATCTTGATTAAAACGAATGTCATTTAATTACCACTAACAATAATTAAAGGTAAAAAATAAAGAATTGACACTAGAATTTCCAGTGGGTTCAGGAATGGAAGTTCCAATGGAACGCAACGGAAATCCCATTGCGTTCAGCAATAGATATCCCATTGAGTTCGGGAATTTCACTAAAATTCTATTAGAAATTCTATTCATCCTATTGGCATTTCTCCATTTAATACCATTAATTATTATCAGTAGTAATTAAATGACATTTTTTTAATGGAAATAGAATGGAAATTTTTCCTACGGACTCTGTTCTCCTATTATTTCTACTGCCTATTCATTTCTAGCCTTCTCTATCCACGGAATCCTCATCATTCGCCGGTAACACCACATTTTGAACGCTTATAAACTTTTCTTTTCCACCGCGCCCACGATCCGTTATTTTAAGCATCCCTTTCAATATCAAACATTATATACAACTATTTATTTATAAGAAAACTTTGCGTAAAAAATCCCAAAAATTTTCCGTGTGAAACATTTCGAACTGTGGTTTTCTTTGGTAAGGCTGCTAAAGGAAAAGCAAGAAAATGAAGGAAAAGTTGGAGGTGGTGGATTTGCAGCATTCACTCGAAAAGTTATATCGCCGCCTCCGCCAGCCGCACCAGTCAAGAGTCCTCCCAAAACTGAGGACGACAACTTGGATCCCACAAACACCAACCTGCCTTTCCTCCAAAGGATCCTTCTCCTCAAAAACAAGGAGGAACAAAATGTCCAACAACAACACAGTAGTCTGCCCACGAGTCCAACGACTACCATGCAAATGGTTGCAGTTACCAGAACCATATCCTCAGGTAAGTTTAGCAGTTAAGGTAGTGTTAGTAAGATAGAGTTATTACATTATCTTTAATATTTCGGCAGATATATCCTCCTAAACATTTAGTCCTCAATTTCAATTGTAATACAATATCAAAATTATCGAAAGGGTACATCATAGGTAGACGATTCTCAAATTGTAAGTCAGCGAAAGGCGATTTTCGGTTTACTTCAACCCAGGGGATGTCGCTTCAATTCAAAATAACCAGAACCAAAACTTTTAGAGATTTGATTCATTCAAAATTAACTTTATCGTATTCATGAAGATACGAGTCAATTGCTGGTGAAGGAACGTTTGTGCTACCTTTAATGGTTCGTCAAATATACCATCTTCCCTTACGATTTAGTCCTCGATAATAACACGATGTCAAAACTTTCGACAATGGTAACTCCGAAGCGTTAGATCATAGAAAGATGATTCTCGGATTGCTTCAATCTCTGGAGTCTCTAAAACGTTTTAATGGTACTGATTCGAACCTTTCAGGCCAAAACTATGAAACTAAAATGAGGATAAATAGTAAGAGTTGGATCGACTGTCAAAATAGATTTAAACCCTATTTGAAATTTAATTTTCAAACTGAAGGTTATCTCAGAAGACCAGTCTTGGTTTTAAACATTTTCAAATCAAGACCAAGAGACTGTTAGACAATATTAGGAAGTTATCTTTATTATACTATAGAGTTGTTTGGAAAGTCATTTCGTTTTTTTTTGTGAAAATGAAAGACAGTTTTCGTATAATAAACAAATACTTTATTAAATTATATATTGACCGTTCTGGTCCAACACCTTTTGCCATCTTTCTGGTAGTAGCATAATTCCACGCTCATAAAATTTTTGGTCTTTGCTGGCAAAAAACTGATCGAGGAGGTTTTTGACCTCCTCATTTGAGGTGAAGGTTTTACCGTCTAAAAAATTTTGGAGTGACCGGAACAAATAATAATCCGATGGTGCCAGGTCTGGAGAATATGGTGGGTGTAGCATTGTATCCCATTCAAGCTGTAAAAGCTTTTGGCGAGTGACCAAACTTGTGTGAGGTCTCGCGTTGTCTTGGTGAAACACTACACCTTTCCTGTTGATTAGTTCTGACCTTTTCTGTTGAAGTGCATCATTCAGTTTGTCCAGCTGATGACAGTAGACTTCCGAATTAATCGTTGTGTTATCCGGTAAAAGCTCAAAAAAAACGATTCCTTTAAAATCCCACCAAACAGACAGCATCACCTTTTTTTGGTGAATATCGGCTTTGGAAATGGTTTGAGCCGGTTCATCTTTTTTGCTCCATGACCTCTTGCGTTTGACGTTGTTGTATACAACCCATTTTTCGTCCCCAGTGATGATGCGCTTCAAAAACGGATCATTTTCGTGACGTTTGAGAAGCGAATCGCAGACGTCAATGCGGCGACACAGATTTCTCTCTGTGAGAACATGGGGAACCCATACATCGAGCTTCGAGAATAATCCCAGGCCTTTCATGTGGTCATAAACTGTTGAATTTGATAAATTTAACCTCAATCCGATCTCACGTGTAGTTATTCGCCGGTTCACATCAACTAATGCCTTTATCGCGTTTTTATCAGCTTCAACCGGCCTTCCCGAACGTGGTGCATCTTCGACATCAAAATTGCCGGATCGAAATTTAGCGAACCAGTTCTGGCACTGGCGTACTGTCAACACACCTTCTCCATACACATCAGTCAATTTCTTTCAGGCTTGAACAGCATTTTTACCTTTTCTGTAGTAAAAACGTAAGATATGTCAAAAATGCTGCTTATTGCTCTCCATATTTAAAAGGGCACCAACCAAAAACTACTGCGTAGAATTAATTGGAATTTTTCACACACAAGCCTTGCTATATGAGCTCTCAAAGCATATAAAAATTATACAGCTTAAATGTGAAGTTGGCTGCAAAAGAAATGCTCTGTCGGGAAAAAACGAAATGACTTTCCGAACAACCCGATAAATGTCAAAAAGTCAGTTTTCTAATGAGCAGAGTCACCTTCATTTCATAAAACTCATTAATTTTATAATCCCACATGTCTTACTATTTCCAGTACCCATTTGTAACAAAACCGTTCCAGTGACAACAGCGTGTGTTACAACAACGTCCTGCAGTCGGTTGTCTTTCAAAGAAAAAATAAAACTGCACAAAAGCGCCAACAACAAACTGACCATTAGTGAAATCAAAGAAAGTAGCACGGATTCGAAGCAACAAACTTCGGAAGTGTCGGAAGCGGGTAGTGAAAAATCGAAAACCGTTAATTTCGCAAGTGATAGTGATAAAAATGTAAAGACGACGTCCACCTTAGATCCTCCCGCTCCTCCTAAAGCGATCGTCAGTTGTGCACCCTCAGAGAAAAAAACATCCCCCGTGCTCTGTGACAGTAGTAGTAGTGCTCGATCGCCCATCGTTACAGTTACCCTATCGACGAGTGATACCCTCCAAGAAGTGGTCAAAAATCGAGAGAGTCCGGAAAAAGACGATCCTCCCTGGAGCAAACTGAAGAAGGCCGCGCTTGTCCATGAAGTAAACGATGTTATGATCGCGTCTTCGAGTAGTGGGGGTAGTGAAAGTGATAAGGGCTGTGCGTCAACGAAAATACGACCCTCTATGTTGACGATTACAAGGAAAACGAAAAACTATAGGTCGATCGACGATCTATCGCCGGAATATAGTGGTTTACCGTTTGTGAAAAAACTGAAAATTCTAAACGAAAGACAAAAATTAGCTGAACTCGAATATGAAATCAAAAAGCGTAGCTTTAGTTTGGACATTCCTGACACGCAGCAGGCAACCGTAGAATGTGATACGTTAACCAGGTAAGTCAAAAAAAATACGTAGAAGACACAGTTTTTGGTCTGTAAAAGACCCAGTTGTTTTTCTGTTTCTTGAACATTTTAACGGATTTGGTAAAATTTAGGATCTTAATTTACAGGTTTTATGATTGATTATACTCTAAAGACCGTTTAAATTCTTTAACTTATTGTAAAAAATCAAATTACTTAATTAAAAAAATATAACTTAGGTATCTACTAATTAAATTAAATTTGTATTGTCATACACTGTGCTAAAACAGCATTTAGACAAAACAGTATCAGTATTCAAATTTTATCGAATATATAACTAAAAATAATTTTTGACCCTGTCAGTGACGAAAAAAAACCATTCTTGTCCCTTCCTTTCTCAAAAGCCACAGAATTTACAATTTTCACTACAGAAGTCATAATTGTTTTTTAATACATATTTCAGTGCATTTAGAAATAGAAAAAGAAATTGAAAACTTTATAATTATCGGTCCTTTAAAATTTTAGGTACTTGTCCCATTCGGTTCATATATTTTTTTGTTAACCCTTATATTTATCTTCGTGGTAAAACCGATTGAGAAATAATTCCAGAAAGATATTCATGTGGATGTAATTAATAAGGTTTCCAAGATTTGAACTCATGTCAAATTATCATTTCTGAAGTTATCAGTTAATACAAACGCTTTAAGGGTCTTATAAGGGTTTAGTTTTTCTTTTCCTATTGAGATAGCAATGCATTTTTTTCTTAATTTAATTTCTATAGAGTTTATCCAATTACTTGCAATAGAACAATACAAAGTTTACCTAATACGTGCTTATACGCAATTAAAAAAGGACTAGAACTTTAGCTGAGATATGGCTTACCTGTACACCAAACAACAACTTTAAATATTTACAATAAATATTATGGTTTTCCATCATTAACTTTTACTAAACTTTAGAGTAAAATAAGAAAAAATGAAATATGTTGTAAAAAAGTTCATGTCTACATTCGATACTGAAAGAGGTGTCGTCGTTTTGAAAATAGAACAAATATCAGGACATGTTTAGACTGTGCAATCAATATAGGGTCAAAAAAATTCTGGCTGGACTAAAAGCCCAATTTTTTTCACTTTTATATTTAGATACATCGCAATACTTCTGTTAGCTTTGTTTATAAATAGTAAGTATTACGTAAAGGTTAGCACATTAAACCAATAATTCATTATTTTTCAGTCCCATTGAATACTACTTATAATTAATGTTAATTCTTGATCCTTTTTTCACCAAACAAATTGCACAAGAAATGGATAGTTTGAATAGACACTTTTGCCAACTATACTTACAAAAAAGCTTAAAAAATTTGTTCTGTTGATCAGATTATTTTAAAAGTAACTCAAGATGAACAAAAGAGCGATATTGAAATATTACAGGTCGCATTCAGAGGGTAGTAAAATGCACCAAGATAATAAACTCCGATCGAAAAACACCCTCTTGTCTTCCACCGCAGTTCCCATAAGCAGAAGTCCACTCCATTCGAGCACCGAGTCCAACGAAACCCAAGAAAGAAAAAACCTCAAGTCCATTTTGAAGAAGCTGACCGAGGAAGTCCAAGTGCCACCAATGACGCCCAACAAAATCGACTCAACGGAATTCAGGAAACTCATGAGGGCACCAACGATAGAAGGTTACGCTGCAAGACATAGTAAACTTTCGAAAAGCGTCACTTTTGACAGGGGTAAGTTCTAGTAAACCCAATACGATCTCTCTTCAAAAACACAATGAAATACTGCTGGAAAAACTAAGGCAATAAATGATTAGATACTTTTATAAAAGAAGAAGTTGTTAATACTTATCGATGTTGTTATTTCCAGGTACTTCACATAGTTATTTAAATAACGACCCACTATCAGAAACAGTCAACATTTTACCTTCCAAAGAAAACGGAATTGAATCGAAAACAAAAGAAAGCGAGAGCAAGCTGCAAGCTTTAGAAAAATTCGGGTTTCTGCCTTCAAAAGTTAATCAATTGAAATTGTTTAAAGGTAAGTAGGTACCTAAGCAATTTTAAAATGGTTCAGTCAAAAAGCGTCGTACCCATTTTACCGAATATGAAATTTATTATTTTCGTTAGGACCTTTAGAAGAAGACCAACAGTACTACGAGGAAGTCGTTTTGGCAATCAAGCAAGTGATGGCGTCCCATCTTCAGGAGGTGCAGGAAAAATTTGAGCAAAAATTCGAAAAATTGGAAGAAGAATTAAGAAGCAGAGATCAAGTTATCAACCAACTGCGAGCACATATCATCGAACTAGAGAGGGTCACTGACGAGTCATATGCGGTAAGTCGAAACAGATTACAATTTTTTAATGAAGAATAAGTGTCTTTTTCTCTACAATTGTTTAAAACTCCATGATCGCTCCTGCAAAAATTTTTTCTTTTGGGATCATAGTGGAATGTAATTGAATATTTTTTTTTTAAAATCATCATCATAAAGTCGTCAGCCCTAGCACTAGTTGGACATGCACCTCCACTCCTCCCTATCCTGAGCTAATCTTCGCATTTCTTAACTATTTGCGAACAATAATCTAATATAAGTCTATCTCTACCCCTCCTAACTCCTGTTTCTGCCTCTAATATGTCTCTGGCTAGACCTTCATGCCTGAGAAGGTGTCCTACTAACGTATCTCGCCTATTTTTTATTGACTTCCATAAAGTCCTCTGTTCTCCTATTCTTTCTAATACTTCTTCGTTTCTAACCTTCTCTATCCACGGTATCCTCATGATTCGCCTGTAACAGCATCTTTCGAACGCTTCTAACTTTTTCTTTTTTCTTTCCTTTTTGGAATTTCTAAATTAAACGTTTGCGAGCATAGATGTGACTTGTTTTTATTGAATGTGACTCGACCCTGCACTATCTTCTGCTTTATATCCCTACTATTCCTTCCGTTCTGATTTCAGCCACTTCTCCTAATTTTTCGTCTCCTATCTTTATATTCGCTCTTTCCCTACTTTTTCTTCCCTTCCATACCAGTATTTTTGTTTTACTTTTATTTATTTTCATGCAACACTATTTTATAAATACCGCTTCCATTTTATTTAAAGCTATCTCTAACTCCTTCTTGCTAGATGCTAACACAGCTATATCATCTGCAAATCTAAGCATACTGATCTTTTGCCCCTCTGTATCAACCCGTACAGTTGTACTGTCTTTAATGATATTGATCGCGTCTTCGATGTATCGATTAAAAAATAGCGGTGACAGTGTGCATCACTATCTGACTCCCTTCCTATTAAAGTAATGAAGTTCTTCGCTCTCATTAATAAAAATAAGCCTGCAAATTTATTATTGATTTATTAGCATCTTGCCGGCATGTTCCCAACAAACTTAACTCTAAATCATATGCTACCTTTCCTTCGAATTTCTGCATGGCTTCAATAGTTCTAGCGGCACTTGTGATTAATATAAACAGGTTCCATTCTGCCGCACCCAGGACTCAGTGGAAACGGTGATCGGAGGTAACGTGGACCGTTCCTCCTGGGAAGATCACACCTTCCACGAGTCCCAGGAGTTACAAAAATTGCCCCGCTCGATCTCCCCCCAACAAATCCACTCGTCTGCATCGTCGAGTGTTGTGCTCGACTTGGAGTCGACGACCGACACCGAGGGCGAGTCCGAAGACCCGGGCGATTCTTCCGAACCGGGGGCTTACGAATCGGGAGAGTGTAGACGCAATACGAACTGGGAAATTGAAATGCTGGCGGCACAAATGAGACAGAAACGATCGGCCAGTTTAGATTACGCGGTCAGACAACCCCCCAGGAGACGGTTTAATAGGGGGAGTAGTGTCGATAACCATAAGCATGACTGATATAATAAAGTATATATTTGTGTTGGTGCCTACTAGGTATGATAGTGAGTGTACCGATTCTATTCGATTTGATTTAGAAAACAATTTTCTTCAGAAATTAAAGAACCAGACAAAAAATATTTACAGGAAATTGCTTTCGATACAACTGGGACAGACAGGAAATCGAAATTTATAAAAATCAATCGCTATTTCTGCAACTTTTATCGTTGAGAGTTAAGAAAATAAAACATGACGCTAATAAAAAACCCATTAATTTTTTTTTTATACTGGAATAAAGTTAATGGTCCCTGAATGAATGAGAACGATAACAATAGTTATCTACAACTAATTGTAAGTGAGGAGCATAATTACTGAGTAGATAGAAGAAACAATAAAGCAACTAGAAGTTGAAGTGATAATCGTGAACGTAATATTTTCTAAAAATTCCCAATTTCTCTTTAAGGATGTTTGGGAGATACAATCGGAGACAAGAGTACATAAAATTAGAAATTCGTGATTAATTAGGTTTTGCAGCATACCATGAGGTAAATAAATACTATCTATACTAAAAAAAGTATACGGTTTGAGATAAAATTTGAAATTTGACCAAAAACTTTGAATAAAATAACAAATAACGAATAATCTGGAATATTTTTAACTGACTTTTGGCAGTGAATATGCCTTGATTTCAACTTCGAAACGAAAAAATATTTAGTTTCAATCTTTATTAATAATGAGCGTAAAACTTTTTAATATGTTTAAATAATACTGTATGAAAATAAATAAAAGTAAAACTAAAATACTGATATGCAAGGGAAGAAAAAGTAGGGAAAGAGCGAATATAAAGATAGGAGACGAAAAATTAGAANAGTTCTAGTTACTTATTATAAAAGTTTGAAATTTCTGGTAGCTTTTTTTCTGTTAATAAAAATAAATTTAATCTGTTCAGTTAACGAATCACCATAAAATGACGTGTAAAATTACAATTTTTTAAATTTGCAATAACTTTTTAACGGTTTAGTGAATCGATTTGTAATTTTTACAGGAGTTTTAGAATTGAATGAGGAACTTTTTTCCAAATTTTTATTTGTCTCGTAGCATTTTGACATACCTCTCAAACATCCTTAAGTATCTATGAAAAAATTGTATTGTGAGTCGACTGTTTGAACTCCACTGTCAGTAAAATCATACATACAATTTTACTTTGTGAAAATGGATTAGCTAATACCTAATAAATCTATCTATTAGACCTAATTTAAACAAGATTATTTCATTAAAGTGTTACAACTTATATCAAAATGCACATATGCCTTTAAAAACCAATAGGGCTCTCATTAGGATAATGTTCTGGCTTTATGATCAAATGGATCATAGTATTTTTTTTTTTAAAGAATATTAGAAAAAAATCAAATAGAATCGGTATAAAAACAGACAAAACCGAATTCTACGCGTTTTTACAACTGAACTTTTCATTCTGTAAAAATTGAACTCAACCTAGCAATTGTAACCCACTAATAATTTTCCTACAATACTTTAAAAACCAAAAATATACATAATGTATATAGTTTATATAAAAGAAATATCCAAAGACATACCTAATAATTATCTGCAATTAAATGATTTGAAAACGAATAGCTCAACTACTAAAAAGCATATTTTAGTTAGGTATCAATTTTTATTTACGAATCGCTCCCAACATATACACGGTGGTCAACTATCTTAACCTAACGCAATAATATTAATAGAAAAAACAAAACACATTTTAAATTGAAAAATGGTTTTTAAACGTGAAACTTGCCATTAATTTATTAATAAATAAAAAACAAAATTAATTTCAAGATTTGTACTGAAAATTACTTCAGTATCCTTTCTTGCTCCTTTCGGTGGTAGTTTAGTTTATTTATTATTATTGTTATTATTTATGAACTTCTTCAAATTAGTATCATCTTTTATTTATTACTAAAATAGCTGTGACCTGTTTAATAATAAATAATTACGCAATTTTAAAAAAAATACATAATGTTACATGTTGGAGCATACATAATCAGTGACAACAGCGTG